TCTTGTACAGAAGTCACTTGAGTACTCACAACTTCTGACTTTTCTTTCTAGCTTTGAAGTCTTGTCCTTTGGGCATTTCTATCATAAGGTTCTAAAATGTGGACATTTATTTTTATTCATTTTGTTTGGCATTCATTGATAATCCCTCTTATGAGGCCTGATTTCTTTCATCACTCTGGAGAATGCCAACTACTAACTCTTCACAGGCCTCATTCTCATGCTCGTTCTTCTTTTGAAGCCTCTGTTAGATAGAGGTACAGTGTTTCACTTCATCCTTCATCTCTCTCACACACATTATTTTATTTTTAACATTTAACTGCATTGCATGTTATTTCTCCAGATGTCTACCAGTTCTACAATTCTTGTTTTTAAAGCTTTGCCAAATGGAAAGCTTAATCCTTCCATCAAATGTTTAAATTTAGGAACAACATTTTTAATTTCTGTAAGTAGTTTTATCTTTTTTTTTTTTTTTTTTTGGTTTTTTGAGACTGGGTCTCACTATGTAGTGAGACTGACCTGGAACTCACTATGTAGCTCAGGCTGGTCTCAAATTCACAGTGATCCTCCTCCCAAGTGCTGGGATTACAGGCGTGCACCACCGTGCCCAGCCTATAGGTTTTATCTTTCTAAAAATGACCTGCCAAACCAGGTTTGATTAATTTTTCCTCATTATCTCACCAAACCTCCTTTCATTAAAAAAAAAAAACACAATAAAGTCACTTATTTCATGTTCTGGAGCTGCTAAATCCAACATCTGCAAACTCTGTGATCTTATCTGTCATTTGTTCTTCTGATATTTTGTTTATGTGGCTTACTTTCTTATTTATCACTGTCTTTTTAAAAACTAATTTTTTAAAAACTTTAGTTCTGTGACTTTTTTAAAGGTTTATATGTAAGCTGGACTAATCAGGGATTATTTTGTATTTGCTTCTGTAAATTCCTAGGGGCACTACTAATCTAGAACATTAAAATTTTTTTTTTTTTTTTTTGGTACTGGGGATTGAACTTGGGTCCTTGCACTTAAGGCAGGTAGTGGAAACACTGTGAGCTAAATCCCTGGCCCTAAAAAATTTTTTTTTACATTAGACTTTTAAGATAATTAAAGATTAACATGGACAACTAAAGATTAATATCGATAATTGAAAATTAACATCTATCATTTCTTCCTTTAACAAATGGTTATTACTGTATCTAAATTTAAAAAAATTTTTTTTGAGACAGGGTCATGCTACGTAGTTTGGGCTGTCCTTGAACTAGTGATCCTCCTGAGTGCTGGGATTACAGGCATGCACCACCATGCCTGGTTTAAATCTTGAAATAAAGTAGACTACTTCTTATTTGTCTGTATTAGTAATACAAAAAGATCCGAGGTGCCCTTTCCCCAGTTTAGTCAATGATAATGTCTTGCAAACTATAGTATATCATCATAACCATCAATTGACCTTATACATTTTGAGTATATTCTTGTATAGTGAGAGTTTTATAATTTGTTAATTTAGTATTTTGCCTATGAATGTTCTTTTGAAGTGCCATTTGTTGAAAAACCTCTTTCCTCCACAGCATTTCTTTCCTTCTTCATTTAAAATCTATTAGAGGACCGGGGATTTAGCTCAGTAGTTCCACCACCTGCCTGGCAAGCTCAAGGACCCGAGTTCGATCCCTGGTACCAAAAAAAAAAAAAAAAAAAAAAAAAAAGAAAGAAATAATAATAATAATCTATTAGACACATTTTTAGGACTATTTCTGGCTTTCCTGCTCTGTTGTAGGGAAATATCTATCTTTCTGTCTTTAACAAACAGATTTCATTACTGTTATTGTACCTCTACAGTAAGTCTTGAAATCAGGTAGACTGATTCTTACTATGTTTATGCTTTTTCCATATTGTTTTGGCTCTTCAAATTCTTTTGCTATTCTACATAAATTCTGGAATGATACTGTCTATGCCTTCCAAAATCTTACTGGTATCTTGACAGAAAATACATTCAGCTTGTATTCCAATATGGGGAGAATTGACATCTTTACTATTTCACATCTTCCAACCCATGCATGTGATATGTTTCTCCATTATTTACATCTAATCTGATTTCTTTAATCACATTTTTAGTTATCAGCACACAAAAAACATACACATTTTGCTAGATATATGTCTATTTCATTTTTGCTTTGTTTTTGAGACAGGGTTCTGCTATGTAGTCTAGGCTGCTCTTGAACTCACTACGTAGACCAAACTAGCATTGAACTTGCAGCAATCCTGCCTCACCCTCCCACTTTACCTCCCAATATTGGGATTACATGTGTGCATCGCCATGCCTGGCTATCACTGATTCTTTGAGTGAGCATAAGTGATACTTCATTTGGTACATAATCATTGTATCTGCAACACTGGGACAACTTAATATCTTCCTTTGTGATACACATAATTTTTTATTTCTTATTGTGCTGATTAGAGCTTCTAGCACCATACTGATGTAACAGGTGAGAGCACATAATCTTGTTTGGATTTCAATCTTGGGAGGCAAGGGTTCAGCCTTCTACTAGCTGTAGCTCTTTGGTAGATGATAATTGTTAGTTGAAAATGTCTCCTGTTATCCATCATTTTACAAGAATGCTTTATTATTATGGATGTTGACTGTAGTCAAATGAATTCTCTGCATTAACTGATGCAGAAATTTGATAATGTGTTTTTGTTATGTGATAAATTATATTAACTGATTTTCAAATATTGAACCATTCTTTCATCTCTAGAATACATACCCCAGGTAGTATTTTATAATTTGATATGTCTCTGAATTCTATTTGCTAATATTTTACACACTAAAGATTTTTTCATCTAAATTCATCAGTATTGGTATATAGTCTACTTGTCTCTCTCCTCTTCCCTCCCTCCTCCCTCCCTTACTTTCCCTTCCCTTCCCTTCCCTGTCTTTGGTGTGATATCAGTATAATACTAGATCTATAAAATGAATCAGGGAGTGTTTCTTCAAATTCTGTTTTGCAGGAGAGAGCATGTAGAACTGAAATTAATCCTTTAACATTTGTTGGAATTCTTGAGTGGAACCATCTGGACCGGAAGAGATTTCTCTTGGGGAAGTTTTTTTTTTTTTAATTATCAAGTCAATTTTCTTATCCATTATTGGTCATGAACATGTATTTCATTCTGGGTGAATAGCAGTAGTTTGGTCTAAGGAACTGGTCTATTTCACCTGAAACATCAAATTTCTGCATATAGAGTTGGTTCCTTTATAATCTTTTAAGGGTCTGAAGTGCTAGCCCTTGTTGTAATCTCAGTGTCAGTAAATTGTCTTTTTTTATAAAAATCAGTTTTGCTAGAAGTTTGTTGATTTTATTGATCATTCAAAGAAACACCATTACATTGATTTTGCTGTATTGTTTTTATGTTTATGATTTCATTGATTTTGCTGAGATGGCAGGCGTGAGCCACCATCCCCCATGAGGCTGGATTTTTTTTTTAACCTCTTTTAATTGCTCCCTGGAATGTCTGCAGGTGGAGGTACAAGTTTAGCTTCTCTGCTTGGTCTCTGTGGCCATCACACTGGGTATTTCTTAGTCTCATGTGCAAGGGTGGAAATTCTAGCTGCCGAGAAGGTCTTCACTGATGACTGCTTGGATAGGAGGAACTGGAGAACTGCTTACTATGCTCCGCGTGGCCTCTCCTGACACCATGGTGAGAGTGTTTTCATGGCTTCATTATTATTACTGGATGGTTGCAAAAGTCCTGATTCTGTAGCCGAGCTCCTTTGTCTTCACCCCAGGCTGCGGTGGTGGGGAAGCCTGTTGCTGTCACTTGCAGGTAGAAGTTCAGGCTCTTATGCGGTCTCTACTGACACCCTGGCAGGAGGTGGGACACTCGTGGCCCATCAGTGAAGATAAAATTTCTGGCTCTCTACGTGTCCTTCTCTGATATTATCCTGAAGTGGGGAACTTCAGGTGCCTTTTACAACCACGGATTTGAGCTCTTCACTCAGCCTTTGCTGCTGCTGCTGCTGCTGCTGCTGCTGCTGCTGCTGCTGCTGCTGCTGGGGCTACCACCATTTGGCTACAGTAGAGGAGCTGAAAGTTTATCCTGTTAAACTGCCCCTTTCTGATCCCTGAATACAGGGGCAGGCTTTTGTTGGGGATTGTTTTGTCTGCACTTGTTAGTGTTTCCAGATGGCCAACTTCTTCAGTTCTAAGTGTGGGACATAAGGGTCAGAAAGAAAACCCAGGGAACTTTAGCACCTTATTGTTTATTGGATTCTGAGTCCCCTCATTGGTCTGTCTTTTTCTCTCCACCTTCCAGTCTTTTTATGTTTGTTTTCTATCTAGCGTCCAGCCTTTTTGTGTATTCAGCAGAAGGAATAGGGAAGAGTATATCTACTCCATTTTCCTAGAAGTGGAGATATAACATTGAATTTTATCGTTTTCTTCCTTACTGAAAAGCTTGGATTCCAGATTCTTAACTCATAGCATGTTCAGGGAGGTCAGATGATTTTTATATGGCATTCAATCAATTGAGAAAGAAACACTTAAAATTGGAACTAGCGTCGAATTTTGTGAAGGAAAAGTGTTATTCATGGCTAGTGCAAACATGTCCTGTGGGAACAAAAGTTAAAGAGAAGAAAGTGTAGGGAATTATGCCTAATATTGATTATCCCCAAAGCAGGCTGTAAAGAGTTTTAACCCCACAACTGGCTTTTTTTGAGAAGTGAGTCTGGCCAAAGCCTATGTGCAAAGGTCAGAGTAATTTACATGCAAATTTTGTTCCCATAATTAAAACCTTCTACATAGAAGGACAGGTTCTAATTACAGCCATATGTTTTGTCTATTCTGTTCCTAATCTGAGAGTGCTTTGTCATGTTCTTTACAAGCCTTGCTTGCATTGGTATCCATAGTAATTGCACAATTGTACATCCTTGTACATAGTTCCACCATAATTAATCTTCCACATAGAAGGACAGGTTCTAATTACAGCCATATGTTTTGTCTATTCTGTTCCTAATCTGAGAGTGCTTTGTCATGTTCTTTACAAGCCTTGTTTGCATTGGTATCCATAGTAATTGCACAATTGTTCATCCTTGTACATAGTTCCCCCTTTGCACATAATTTACCTTTACTCCATTTGATTGCCGACAAAAGTCAGTGGCTTGGACTGACAGGTTCCTTTGCTGGATGAGCAGCATGGGTCATCTTCTCAGTTTCTCTGTCTCTTTAGTTCTGTCTTTTGTTTTTTTTCTCAGCCTTGCACTGTAGCACCGAGCAGGAGATCGGAATCTACTGCAGAGGTCTCTGATAGAAAGGGAGATAACAGTGACAATATGCAAAGAACATTTATCTGTATGCCTTCTCTGCAACAGTGGAGAAGTACATGAATTTGGGCATATGTAGAGTAAGTCTCTTATTTTGCCAAAAAAATTGTATTATCTAGTTTAGTAACTCAGAAAATATTTGGACATATTAAATGAATTTTGTATGAATAGTATAATTACTAGAAGGTATAGGAATGATATGACAACTTCAGATGTAGGTATTTAAAATTCTTTAAGTTTTTCCATGTTCAAATTAAGGTAAGTAATAAAAGTTTTTATTTCATAGCAAAGTATTTTTGGGGGGATTAAAATTTTTTATTAATATTATAATATTACTTTGATAGCTTTTGTTTCCTTTTATTAAATGATATTATATTGAAAAGTAAAATTTTTTTTACTTGTGCAGCAATTTATTCTGTATTTAATATTTTCATGAGCTAATCTCTCATGGAAATTTTTTTTTCTTTTTTTTGGTACCGGGGACTGAACTTGGGCCCTTGCTCTTTGGAGGCAGGTGCCAGAACCACTGAGCTACATCCTCAGCCCTCACAGAAACCTTTTCAGTAACTATAAACTCTATCAGTTTTGTTGTATACAAAGCTAGGTTCATCCTTGCTTGTCTGAGTTACAGTGGACCCTTGAGTTCTGACCAATCTGACAGATGAACAACTTGAATTATGACCAGAATTTTAGTTTTAGTTTTACGCACTGAATCTTGAGTTACTTCCTGAACACTGGCTGCTTGTGCTTCCAGATGGTCTCAGATACAGATTTAACCCTTAAAGAGTTCTGGAAGGTACATGACAGCATCCTTTCCTGTGTGGGGTTGTTTGAGAAGTCCTGGGCCAATGTCTCTCTTCTGGCACTGAGATCTGCCTGGAAGAATGTGTGGCCTGAAATTATACAGCAGGGAGTCTTTGAAAGCAACTAACCAACTTGAATTACAACCAGCTCTTGGGAACAAACTGAGTTTGTAAGTCAAGAGTCCACTGTATTTTGACAGTTAACAATAATGATCATAATAAAAAGATAAGTTGAGGAGAATAGCACACCATATAAATGCTATTTGGAGGTGCAGTGTCCTTTGAGGGTCATGGAAAGCCCACTGCTTCAAAATATACCCTTAAATATTTCTTTGAGTGAAATTCCAAATTCCAGTTATTTTTTCACAGTGCAATCCTTTTGGGGAGGTAGGTACTGAGGATCAAACTCAGGACCTTACACTTGTGAGGCACCACTGAGCTAAATCCCAGGCCCAGTGCAGCTCTTAATTAGGAGGAGTAAGCCATTAACAGTCACAGAAAACTTCATTCCAATCGGATTTTTAAAGGTTTTACTGGTCCATGTTCACAGTACACAATGTTCACATTTCTTGTGTGGAGTTGGTACAGGGACGTAACACATCTTAATTCCTTTTCACCCCCTTCCCCTCCCTCCCTTCCTCTTTCTCCATTTGTTGATCCCCTTCCCACTTAAGGAAGATCTATCTCTCAATTAGATCTTTAAATTAAGCAAGGATCCCAAAAGAAGGAGACACAAGACAAGTGAGCATGGGGCTGCAGAAGACTCCTGGTTTCTTTCCCTTGCCTCTGCTCTATGCCATGACCAGTTCCTCCCCGACACTGAACAAGGGTGTGAGGGGCGATCGGCCCGGCCCCGCACCATTCCACTTTGTACTGACAGAAGGAGAAAGCTACTGGGGAGGCACTAACAGGAGAAACCATAGACCACACGAGATAAAGAATGCGGAGAAGACTCCCAGCTGCTGGGAGGAGGCGTTTGGCCAGAATTTAAAAGCAGCCATTTAAATTTGCTTTTTTTTTTTTGTATTGCTGCAGACATCTATAATTACCAAAAGGCTCATCCATGAGTTTTCCCAGTAGAACCACAGTTGGTTGTACGATCTGCTGTGAACAGAAGTTTCTCAGGAGGGTTGGCTTCTCTCCGGGAGGTGTGGGGACCCCACCTCATTTGTAATGATCAGTGCAGGGCTGACAGCCATCGTCAGAGCCATGTAAGGAGAGGTCTCCTGAGACTTCTAGAAAAGGTTTCTTTAATCTGAAAAAAGAGTCATAAAGAAAGAAATGCTCTCTTTGTGCCTCTGGCTGTGACTTTGATGAAAGGCTTGGACCAGCAGCAGGCTTTTCACCATGAGCCTAAGATGAAGCCAGCATGCATGATGTCATAAGCCACTCAGTTCACCTTTATTTTTTTTCAGTTTCTTAAATTGATAAAAAAATTAAATATATTTATCATGTATAATATGATGTTTCAAAGTATAGTTCAAAATAGAACTAATATATGCATGTACCATTTTTTGGTGTCCTGAGAACAACTGAAATCTACTATCCTAGTGATCTTTAAGAATACACTGTTATCTTCCTCCTCAAACTCTCGTAACCACCACCCCATTCTCTGATTTTGAGTTCAACTTCTTTTTACATGCACAGAGGTGAGAACATTTGGTATTTGTTTTTCTGTGTCCTGTTTATTTCACTTAACATGCTGTTCTCTAAACTCATCCTGCCTGTTACAAGAATTTCCTTCTTCTTCAGGGCTGAATAGTATACTGTTGCATATGCAGTTGTATACACAGACCATATTTTCTTTATCTGTTCATATGTTGATAGATAAACTTAGCTTTTTGATAATCCATTATGTGGAAAGTATGTGATTTTTATTGATGTTAGTACAGCAACAGCTTATGTATCTCTCAGCTGCACCTAAATTAGCTGTAAAGTATTGAATGACAGCCTTGTTTATTGACTAAAATCATAGTACATCTACTCCAAAAAAGGAGGAAACAAGGCATACAGATAACTTGACATTAAATATCAAAATAACCAAGAAAGGAATTGGCATTATGAATGCAATTCTCGCAATTTCCCATTTTAATTATTTTGGGTAAAAATGTCCCCAAATCTTATGAGAAAGAAAAAAAGATGTTACAGTAAAATCAGGAATGTACACTTAGGCTTCAGTGTGCCGGGTTTCCTATTCTCCAACAAGAATCACAGCCCTGTACAGTTTTCCGTGGGGTTCATCACAGTCTGCTACGCTTGTGACTGAAATATAACTGGCCACCTGCGATGGGTCCAGTCTACTGTCCACCAGGGACCGCCCTCCCGCTCCAGATGAAGCCACCTACTGACAGTGCTCTAGGCTCTGTGTGGGGATCTGAAGTCACTGAAGGTGTGAGAGTGCCAGGCCTGAGAAACGGGATCGTTCAGGGTTGAAAGCCCAAAGGTGCAGTGTGACTGCAAAATCAGCAGCAGACTCTGCAAGCACGCCCTGGGAAACGAGCAACTGTGGTGAACCCGGGCAGAAACAATGAGGTCAAACAACACTTTGGACACATACTGTGTTCTCACATAAGTTAAAATCATTAGCTGAGTTAAGGGCAAACTGAGACTGTCAAAATAAGATTTATAAGGTACATAGCTATATTTCCATAAAGCCAAAAATATACCACATAGATAACATTGTAGTAATCATCAATTGCTTTGGAAACAGAAATAAATTGAAAATATTTCTACCAAAAAATGTATACTAACCCAACAGATTTCCTTCCTCAGTGTTTCCTAAGAAAAAGTAGCCTCCTCAAAACAGGTTTCCAAAGGGCTCACAGTACTTTCTCCTGCTGGCCCATGGCCAATGCCTTGCACTAAGAAAATACCAGAACTCTTCATCCATTCATGGTCACAGCCAGATTTTCAAGCCTTCATTTTTTCCACAGGTGAAAGCTTTTATTTTTCTAGGACACAAGGAAGAAATCGTTGTAAGTCTAGAAGAAACCACAACTCTTGTTGTTAGGAAAGTTCTAAGTGATTATTTTGATCTGAGGTACGTGTCTATGCTGGATATTAGTGTTAGTTAATACATGTGTGTACTTTCAATTTATTCTTAACTAAGCACAATGAGAATATTTCCAGCCTACCTGTCAGTAACATGGCTCAGTTCAGAAGATTCTCCTAAGATATAATTATTGGTTGGGCTTTTTTCTAGTAGACCCTGGAACTGTCACATACTGTGACAGAGCAAATTCCCCATGTCCCTGGTCCTAGGTACATAGTTCTACATTTTTTTTTGGTGCCGGGGATTGAACTCGGGTCCTTGCGCTTGCAAGGCAGGCCACCAAACCACTGAGCTAGATCCCTGGTCCCCATAGTTCTACATTTAAAATGAAGGAATAATACTGATACATAACATACTGAAGAAGCTAAAACAACTAGAAAATAGAAAATAAAATATACTGGAAGAAAATATAATACAGACTTCATTATGAGTGACAATTACACTTTGCTGTGAAAGAGAAAAACCAAGTATCTGTTATGTTTTAAAAATGAAAGATAAAGTGGATGATACTGAGAGGCATTTCGGGAAACATAAAGTGAATCTGATGACATTTTCTTTCCAAATTCATAAAAGAATTAGTAAAAAAAAATCTGTCAGTGAAAACTGGATTTAAGATTTTAAAAATAGTTTTTAAAAATTCTGAGCTTTATCTTTTTTTCCTATCTCACATTGTCAATTATCTCATTAGGAAAAGGGCTAAAGGTGTAGGGAAAGTGGGAAGGGTAGAGGAAAAGTAATAAGGGAAAAGAAAAAAATATGAGAAAATGAAAAAATGGAAACAAAGTGTTTGTAGATGGGGAAGGGAGGAGCAGGTGAAGGGAGGGCAGGGACAAGGGGAAAAAATGAGAACCAAGACCTATCATGTAAAGGTACAAGATCCCAATAATGAATGTAACTGTATTGTATACCTAAAATGTACCAATAAACTCAATTTTTAAAAAATTCTGAGCTTTGAAGTTTAGCCTGTTATAAAATAGGTTACATTTTGTGCACACACACACACACACACACACACACACACGTAATTTTTAGATGGAGAGATGGGGAACTAAATTATCACTTCCATTATGGAAATTCTGTTAGAAAATTATGAAAAAAAAGGCTTCAAAAAGATACTTCACAGAAAGTAAAAGATCTTCAATGAAGCCACTGAACAATTGTCCATATGATAAAAGATCTTTCTATCACATCAAAGATCAATTAATTCAAACTTTGAAGGCTTGTAAGGACTTTTTCATAGCCCTTTAGCTAAGTCACAACATCAAAGTCACTGCCAAATTTGTCATTTTAGCATGAATTGTCTCAAAGGACATCCAAATTCAACAAGAAATTTAGTCAATACATATCTTAAATATGGAACTTGTGGCATAGATATTTTTAAATATTTTATGTCTGAAAATTTTATTTCTCTTGCACTAGAGAGTGTTCCAGCTATGTTAATCAAGAGTCCAGTTTTACTGGAATTTTAAAACAAGAAACACAATTCTCTTTCTGCTTTGTTTTTTATCTGTGATATGACTGAAATTATCTATGTCCAGTTTTCTGAGCAAACTATGAAAACTGTCAAAAATGCAGTGAAAATCCTTCAATGCAGATGGTATGAATTATGGAAATATTTTTGAAAGTGCTGACAGAATTAGAGGACAGTGAATTCAATAATCATGTGTCTGTCAATGTTGGGTAAGTTGAGGAAGAGTTGCAAAAAGATTTACTTTACTATAACTCCAATTCAAAATTAAAACTTTGGATGATATAAATCAATAATAATAATTATACACATTATTTAACATGAGCCAATATAATGAAGCTATTAATTATTGAACATTACTGAAATTTCTTATAGAAACTACAGGAAAAATTTGAAGAACGCTTTGTTCACATTGGTAAAATTGAGAGTAGACTTTCTACTGACACAAAACTCTCTTGAATTCAGTTTTGGTAATACTGAGTTAGCAAAACAGTGAATGTACTTGACTTTGAATCTGATTTGTATTTCCTTCAAGTTAAATCAATTACTATTATTATTTTTGCATTATTGAGGATTGAACCCAGGTAAGCCACATTCCAAGCCCTTTTAGTATTTTTTTGAGGCCCTTGTGCTTGCAAGGCAGGTGGTGGAATCACTGAGCTAAATCCCCAGCCCCCTTTTAGTATTTTTATTTTGAGACAAAGCCTTACTAAATTTTGCAGACTGGTCTCAAACTTGAGATCCATCTGCCTCAGCCTCCTGAGTAGCTGGGATTATAGGCGTGTGGCACCACACCTGGCAAGTTAAATCAATTCTAAAAAAAAAAAAGAACAAGTTTTTTCAATTTAGATGCATATAGTCAAAGGTATGTTATTTTTGTACTTGATTCAACTTTTGAAAAAATTTTATGTATGTTTGGAACAATTTAGATATATAAAACTGTTTCTGAGTTGTAGATTTTATGAAATCTAAGTAGATCAAATAGAATGAAGTTAGTGACCTGACTGAGATGAGCTGTAGTTGTAAAATACACACCTGATTTGAAAAACAGTGCAGAAAACGAATTTATAATACAAGTACCTTGATCATTTTTGTTGTTTAGGTGTTGAAATGGTAAATTTTAGACATATTAGGCTAGATAAAACGTATTATTAAAATTAATTTTACCTATTTCTTTCTAACATAGTTTCTAGAAAGTTTTGAATTACACGTATTGTACACAGAATAGAATTTTATTTCCATTGAGCAGGTCTGTTCTAGTTTATGGCTGGCTCCATGTGAAACATGAAGTGTTATGAAAGACTTTTGGTTAATCTGCTTTAACAATTGGTTACTTTGAAAACGCCCTTTTCTTCTGTTACAAAGAGGAGCTAACTGAATAAAGAAATAAAGCTAACAAGTTTTAACAAAGGCTCTTCTGTTTACTGGCTTTAGGACCTTTGTCAGTTTCATTAACATCTTCAGAATATATAGGGAAAATAAGTTTACTTGTAGAATTCTTATGGGCACTAAATATAGAAAAGCAGGTAATATACTCAGCATAGTGCTAAGCACATAGTTATCCCTAAAGCTGTGGTTAATGATTAGAACTATAAGTCAATAAGAAGCCTAACTAAGAAGTGATCAAAAGAATAAAGAGGAGGCAATGGGTTGTCAACATGTTTTAAAATGGAGATTAAATATAACAGTATGACAGAGGAGAAAGAAAGATAGGGTAATTCCCAAGTTTCTGCCTTTCAGGTAATGAAGGTGGAAGATTAAATCTATGGGGAAAATTATGAATTCAGTTTTTAAAATGTCGAGCCATTAGGTGACTAGAAATTTAAGAGGAGATGATATCAGGAGGAAAATCCAGGTTTGGAGCTAAGATGATCAGGCTGAACTGTCAACAGAGAATTAGAATTCACAGCTAAAAGAGGTGAGGTAGAACTATTACGAGGTGTAAAAGAAATTGAGATTCAATATAAGAAGGCAGCTAGATCAGGTGTGGTGGTACACACCTGTAATCCCAGCATGGGCTGTTAGGATTTATATCAATATGCCCCCACTGAGCCCGATATGCATACAGATGGGGCTTATGGGAAGTGGCTGGATCATGGGTGATTCTGGATTAGTCCACTTAATGATTTTAGCATAGTTCTAGGTGTGGATGGTGGACTTATTGAAGAGGGAAGACTCACCCTGGGTGTGGGTGGCACCAGTCAATAGGCTTAGTAGCCTGGAGGGAATAAAAAGGGAAAGGAGGAAGGCTTCTCTTGATTCCTGCCTGTCATGACACAGACTGTTTCTCCTCTGCCATGCCACCCTCCCTTGGAGCCAGCCAACTAAAACTGTTACAAACTGTGAGCTAAAATAAACCTTTCTTCCTTTTAACTTATGGGTGTTAGGTATTTTGTCCCAGTAATGAGCAAGTAACAGAGTCTGAGGCAGGAGGACCACGACCATGAATCTGAGGCCAGCCTGAACTATGTAGGGAGACAGTCTCAAAAACAAATCAACACAAACTCCCAAAGACAGCTAGCTAAGGAAGGAAATGTGGGTACACTAACACCTAAGAGGAGAAAGAGAAAGCTCGAGTGAGTAAATCAGAACAGCTTAAGAAGAAAAATACAAAAGACGGAATAAAAACTAAGAAAGGATGAATTTCTCAGCAGGCCCCAAAAGTTGTGAAAGGAAAAAAAAAAACAAACAAAACAACAAAGGATATACTCACCAAGGCTTCCTTCCCCACATCCCAAGTCAGAGCGATTAGGAACCTGTAACAGTGAACCAACTGATAGGTAACATTTTACTGCAGTCTGACATTATAAAGTTAAAAATGTGTGCCCAGGATTGACGATGGTTATGTCTCCCTTTCAAGTCATGGGAAAAATCTGTGGTCTCACTGAGGTAGAGTTGTGCTGGGGAGTCTAAAGCTGGGCAGAAAGTGAAAAAGGTAATAAAAATCCAGGGCTAAAATGTTGAGCAAAATATTTCCTAAAAAGAGAGGACATGCACAGAACAGAGAGCTCAAAATGATGTCCAGCTTATGGGTGATGGGTGGACTGAGCAGATAAGTACTATTTTCAATTCTTCACCTGAATCTGGAGCTTCTTGGAGGCCAACCTGAAGACGCTATTCTCAACACTCCTGAATACACCTGTGCACAGCCAATCAAAAGACACTGTTTCTAATCCTTCCTTTACATCTGAAGAGAGGCCAGGTAAATTTTGGATAGGACAGTTTAGTTTATTTTGGAATGAGGCCAAGTGAGTTTTGGTAGGACAAATATCCCAAAGCCTATTGCATGAAATGGAAATTGATCCAGATATTTTGGATACTAAAAACCCCCTTCATTTCCGCCTCAGGGATGCTATGAGCTCTTCCCTGGCCTGCTTTGGTCCTGCAGAAATGCTTTTTTTCCTGCCTTCCATAGATGTATAGCCTTAGTGCCTTTTCTGTGTCTTGTTCAGTATTCAGAACACGAAGGACCTGAACAAGTGGATCTCCAGCAGCGTTTGTCACAAATAGTATATTGACAGGAGTAAAAATGAGAAAAATAATAAAAAGCCAGAAGACCCTGTTTTCAGCTGTTAAACTAAATGTGAATGATCTGAATTCTGTTCAATGATAGATAAACTGTCAGGTTAAGTGAAACATTTTTAAAAACATTATAAATTATTTAGAAACATAATTGCAATGAAATTATTTCATAAAAGGCCTCCTCAGTTTCTTTATCTTATCCTTTGGTGAGTAAATAGAATTCAGACCCAGTGATGGTGATCAATGGAGAGGATACAGAAATGGAAATATTTAATCAGAAAACATGTATAGTATTTTCTGTATCATACCTAGTGCAGCAAGTTCAGTGGCTTAGCAAATTATAGGATTAACGTAAAATTTCTCTAAACTTATTTTTAATTAATTTGTTGACTAAATCGGGTGTAAGAGATCAAATTCTTACAGAAGACTTTTTATGCAATACTGTACCTTAAGATTGTAAAGCTACTGTTTATATTCGGAGTCATTGTGATACGGATGAACACTGAGGAGGAATTAAGAAGATAATCTTATAAAGAAGAAAATATGTACATTTAAAAATTTGACCATAAACTGATTTATCAAAATTCCTCAGTATCAGAATGATTAGCATCACTGACCTCTATTGTAAGTCCTTGAAACAGACCATATCTTCTTCACGACTGTCCCCCTTTGCACTACAATGTCTAACACCGCTGTAATGAAAGGCGGTAAGAACACAATAAATTTGTCATGAACAGTTATGTCAAATAATTTATTTTTCTTATGTTCTTTGCATAACATTAAGTTGCTTTCAAATGTTTATTTCCCTTGAAGAGTAGTACAGATATTTATACATTATCCTAAATAATCAAACTTGTTAAAATTTGGGGTCAGTAAAAATTTAATTAGATCATCAGCTCATTGAATTAAGTTGCAGGTACAAAATGGCACTTGAGATAAGGTCTAAAACTAAAATAAAGAACTGAAGTTAACTGATACCTGAGGGACAAAAAACAGTAGGTTAAGAGTTGTTCACACTGATAAAAGGGACTGACTACAAAAAGGTACTGCAATCCTGAAGTTCATGTGCTAATTCACATGCAATCAAATCATATAAAATGAGGATAAATGGACAGAAATAAAAAAATAGGAGACAACCATATACTGTAAGGTGCAATATACAGTGAGTACAGAAAAAACGTTATGGTTTTCACTTTTAAAATATAGCTATAAATTGATGTAATATGTTTAAGTCCAAGGAATATTTTAAAATATTGGTTACTAGTTCGTGCCGCAATCGGGGTTCCGGCCTCTTCCCAAGGCCCTACACAGACAGGCCAGTTCCCGCCTCGCTCGGTGGTGGATCCCCGTCTCCAGCCCCTTCCTTGCCCCGCTGTCCTGGAGGTCTGTCGCACCCCGGGGCAGGATCAGGCTACTGCACAGGCTTCCCGGCCACAGTTTTCACTGAACGTATTAGCAACAACCGATCACCCACGTCCCCTTTAGGGCCCCGCAGGAGGCTCGGAGTAGGGTTTTCACTTCGAAGCCGGGGATCGTTTCCCTGCTGCAAGGGGATCACCATTTCCTCGGCTTGCTTGGCCGGGACCAGGGCCAGGGATCGCAGACTCCTGGCAGTTTAAGGAACTCCAGGGCCGCCAGTCGCACAAGCGATAACCGCTGCCAAGGGCTCAGGGAGGACGCACTCCGGGTCCGCGGGAGCAATTTATGCAGCTGCCCCATTGGAAGTGCAGGGGCCGCGTCGAGCTCAAAGCTTTCAGCAAGGAGCGCCGGGGCTGCATTTGGCGCCGCTGTCCTATTGGATACCTCGCCCATCCCTGCGCCTATCAGGCGACCCGGAGAGCAAAGGACCGCCCATCTGACGCAGGCCCTCCAGCCCAATGGGAAGCCGTAAGCGGGCTCACCTCATTTGCATAGGAATTAATACAAATAGAGGCAGCAGGTTCTACCGCTTAGAAACAGCCGCACACACTTCTGTAAAGTTATTTCTGAGTAGGACGCAGGAAGCCAGGTGACGGTTGTCTAGGTAACACTGGCTATGCTCACCCCGTGCACTTACTAGGCCAAACGTACGGCTCTGAGGCCTCCTCCTGAGGCCTAACGCTTCCTTCGTCTCGGTTTCTACTTACCTAATTCACAGCAGTTGCCCCGCTGCAAAGCTCCCCATTCCCGTAAGTCAGAACGCAGTACTTAAACTACTACACCACACCCGAAGCTGGGGTTCAGTGTTTACAGCCCTTTCTCGACGTTTTGGGGGCCCTGAAAAGGGCCTTTGGGAGTGTGGGGGTACGCTGGGGCGCGGCTCAGCCGCCGAAGCCGTAGAGGGTGCGGCCCTGGCGTTTGAGCGCATACACCACATCCATGGCCGTGACGGTCTTGCGCTTGGCGTGCTCGGTGTAGGTCACCGCGTCGCGGATCACATTCTCCAGGAACACCTTGAGCACTCCTCGGGTCTCCTCGTAAATGAGCCCGGAAATGCGCTTGACTCCCCCGCGGCGGGCAAGACGGCGAATTGCAGGCTTTGTAATGCCCTGGATGTTGTCCCGCAAGACCTTCCGGTGGCGCTTAGCACCTCCTTTACCGAGCCCTTTTCCTCCTTTACCGCGCCCAGACATTCTCTCCTCCTCCACAGCACAACAAAAAGCAGAAAAGAAACAAATGTGGCAAAGAGACTGAGGACCAGAATATATATACTCTTGGAGCGGACCTGTTTGAAAACTAGAAGAAAGTGGGCGGAGCTCTAGGCCCCACCCCTGGAGAGTTTCCGGGCAGTTGTTAAGCAGTGCGCAAAACAAAACCGGTTTTGTTTTGTTTTATGCGTCTTTTGAAAAAAAAAATTCCAGCCCTAACCCTAAGAAAAACAAAACAGAACAAAAAAAACAACAAAACTTTTTTTTTTGCGGTAAATTTGAAGGCCTGACAATAGTATATTTGAAAGCTTAAGCAATATGAGAGGATAGAATTTTTTCTCACCTCTGAAATACAAAGCCCACCCTATGCTGTTATTCTCACCGTTTCTGTGACTCTTTCCCTCTCAACACATACTTATTCCGGTTTTGTTTTGTTGTTTCACAAATGGAACATGTACTCCTATCATAGCATGTGTGAAGTAAATGAAAATCAGTAGAAACGCTTTATAGCTCATTAGGTCTTAGGTCAAGGCAATTATCTTACAGATTCTCACGTGTGGATCTTTTAAAATAAAGTTTGGGTAGAGTGGAAATATTTTAATAGTTTTCCCCTGGTTTTGTGGCCCTTCCTGAACATTCTTTCAATAACTCTCGTCTTCCCGCTCCTCACCTCACCCCTCCTCTTCCCTTGTAGCTGCTTCTGTGAAATCTGCAGATTTACCTGTCTCTTCTCCCTCTGATTCTGGAATTGCATTCTGTATTTGCTCTTGAAGCCCGTAACTGTTTCTATACTTATGGAGTTGAATTAGTGTAAATTTCTTACATCGCACTATCTGAGATCTCACATCTTCCACTTAAAGATTCAAAGTTTTTGTAAAACAATCGAACCGTGGCTTCAAATACAGATTATACTGCATTCCTTTCCCTCAAACAGATCCTTCAACAAAAACGAAAGTTTCCATGAACTGTCACTGTACTTGTAGACAGCTTCGCAAAAGGTTTTATTTCCTTAAAAGGAAACAGTATATAGGACATAATTCACAATTCCTTCTCAGGTACTTAGTTAGTATTTTAAAGAATGAATATTTTAGTAAATTCAGCCTTTTCCCCCTATTCTTGAAGATAAGCCTGTCTATAGCAGAAATGCATATGGTAAAAATTTATTGTTTCTAAATGCTGTAATTTATACTTGTTTCAATTCTTGCTCATTTCTATAACTCAAAAAGCCTGCTCCTCACTCCCTTTCTCTCGCCCCCTCTTTTTCTTCCTTCCTTCCTTCCTTCCTTCCTTCCTTCCTTCCTTCCTTCCTTCCTTCCTTCCTCCCTTTTCCTCTTTCTTTTCTTAAGAGTTCTAGGCACACTGGTTATTCTTCCTTCTCCTTCCTTCCTTCCTTCCTTCCTTCCTTCCTTCCTTCCTTCCTTCCTCCCTTTTCCTCTTTCTTTTCTTAAGAGTTCTAGGCACACTGGTTAGGAGAAAATCCTGAATCAAATTTTACTATATGTTTGAAAAATCCGTGGCTCAAGTTAGGCTCCCATTACTTACAAGAATGAAACAAACAAACAAAAATGTCCAACATAATAATTATTTAAACTGTTTTAAGAATTTCTTGTGATATAGGCAAAATTTGAAGCTTTTTTACAGAATTCATTCCAGGAACATTTAGTTGAAATTTGCGTCGGATTTTTATGTCCATTTGTTCAGTATATCTAAGAGCTATTAGATGTTTACTAACATGCTTAATCTTCAAAGCACTTTGAGATAGGTATAGAAGTTAAACAGTTACTGAAAGACAGCTGATTAGTGGTAAAGCCAGGATTTGGAATCGATAGAGTAGTCTGTCTGGGGGTGGGGGGCGGGTATCGTCAACGATGTCAATGTACTATTTCTCAGCTTCAAAGACACTGACCCCACAGGTGGGCAGTAAGGACATACAATGATACCTAATCTTTACTAAATCGAGGAGTGAAATTTGTTTCACTTTTAAATAAATACTAAAAACCACACAAAATATTGTTTAATGGGTAAGTTTAACATTACTCGCATAGCAATGTAACTGTGTAATAGGAGGAAATGTTAAGGAAATGAAAGTATCTCAATGAATTAGTAGAAAGTAATTTCTAATTTAAAAACTTTATTTTGTTTCAGATGCTACATAAGTTGCTTCCATTCTGCCTCTGGGCCCATCTACAAGGTGATGTTCAGGGTCCCTTGCTGGGAACGTGAGCTGTGGCGTGGTGATGACCAGGGAGCAAGCCAAGGCCAAGACCTCAAGATTCAGGGAGCTGTGCCTGCAGCCTCTCGCAAGGAATCCAGTAGCTCTTTTCCAGCCCACAACCTGAGATGAGAGATGCTAAATTTCGGCTAAGCGAGCTTGTCCTTTTCATCAGTACAGAAAGTATTCCTGTCTTGTCTACCACTCATTGCCCAGCATTACAAGAGACTTTCTTTAAATCTTCTTTTTCGAAGAGCGAGCTAGAACGTTGAAACCTCAGCTTCCATTAAATTCATTCCAGCCCTAGGCGCTGTAATTCATATAGGTGGCTATGTAAATAAGAGCTAGAAATTTGCACCTTTGATTGGGCAGAGTGGAGGAGGCGGGTCCTATATTGGCCCTCTCATTGGGAGAGAAACCTGCCAATCATTACCAAGGCTGTTGCAGCGCCCAACTGGACGGCGCTGCCTAGTGGCCGTAGGAGAGTTTGGAGGAGCTGTTCCGGTGTGGTCCGCGACTTCCCAGTACCGAGGATCCTCGCTTCTCTTTCATCTGGCTGGAGTTGTAGGCGAGAAGTAAACATGTCCGGTCGTGGAAAGCAGGGCGGCAAAGTGCGGGCAAAGGCTAAGTCCCGCTCCTCCCGCGCGGGCCTGCAGTTCCCAGTGGGCCGAGTGCATCGGCTGCTGCGGAAAGGCAACTACGCCGAGCGCGTGGGCGCCGGCGCCCCGGTGTACCTGGCGGCTGTGCTCGAGTACCTGACTGCCGAGATCCTTGAGCTGGCGGGCAACGCTGCGCGCGACAACAAGAAGACACGGATCATCCCGCGCCACCTGCAGCTGGCCATCCGCAACGACGAGGAGCTGAACAAGCTGCTGGGGAAAGTGACTATCGCGCAGGGCGGCGTGCTGCCTAACATCCAGGCCGTGCTGCTGCCCAAGAAGACGGAGAGCCAGAAGGTGAAAAGCAAGTGACCCCGCCGCCG